GGGGGGGGGAGAGTTCCACCTCCAATACCCGGTCTTTGCGCGGGGACACAATAAGAATAATGGCATTTTTCGGGGAAGTGAGAGACAACAAAGTGGAAGGTTGTGTAGTACAACCTGGTGTTTTGTCAGAACGGCACCGTAGGTAGGAGAGCCTGGTATAGGCAGGTATAACGAAAAGGAACAGAAAAAGGAAAGAGAGGCACCTTACTCACAACAGAAGAAACATCTGAACGAAAGAGCAAGACAACAAGCAAACAAGAGGAGGAGTAGAAGAGAGACAGAGGAGGAAGAAGACGGAAGCGAGTGTACGGAGGGGAGGAGACAGACCGAGAACGAGAGCAAGAGCATCGTCGGTTCGTTTTTTTTTTCTTTTCAGCCGGGGTAAGCGTGTCTCGGGCGAAAGCTAGACATGGGAAGCGTGTTCTAGGCTGAAGCAGGGCATGGGAAGGCACATGATGGTATACAAGTGAGGACAAGGTAAGCGTGTCTCTGGCTTCAGAGCAGGGCAAGGGACAAAGCCGAGGTAAGCATGTTGTTGGCGAGAGCGAGACATGGAAAAACCAGAAAGTCGAGGGAGCATGTTCTGGCTTGAGCAGGGCATGGAAAGGCTACATAATGAGATAAGGGTGGTCAAGGTAAGCGTGTCTCTGGCTTAAGAGCGAGGGCAGGGTATGGAACGACCGGTTTAAGTCGAGGTATGCATGTTGCTGGCGAAAGCAAGACATGGAAAGACCAGAAGGTCGAGAAAGCATGTTACAGGCTTGAGCAGGGCATGAAAAGGCTACATAATGAGAGAAGCATGGTCAAGGTAAGCGTGTCTCTGGCCTAAGAGCAGGACATGGAACGACAGTTATAGGCCGAGGTAAGCGTGCTCGGGCAAAAGGGAATGCGTGATTGAGTAGAGCATGGAAATGCATAGAGGTTTGTGTCCAAGCTGGGCGACCAGCGGAATGTGGTCAGCCTGGTTCTTATTACTTAGGGAAGCGTTTGGATTCCTTAGGGCGGCCTTTGCGCGGCGATACAATAGTAAAAGGGCTATTGTTTTATCAGGCCGCAACAAATCGTTTTTTTCTTCACCGATTCGTAACTTTTATCGCGGAACCGGTTCTAGGATTTCCATTGGTTCTTAAAAATGGCATTTTTCGGGAAGCGAGAGACAACCCGCGGTGGTGGTGAGAGTCTTGCGCGGGTTGAAAAAAAAACGAGAAGAAAAAGAACTGTTACCCACGGGGGACTGCTTGCTGCTGCTGCTGTGTGCTGCTGCCCGGGAAATCGTGGAAAAACAGGCTTTCGCTGACTGGCGCTATGGATCCATTGCTGCTATGATCTATCTCAGACTCTTTTCTTAGATAGGGATGGATTCGTTCGGTCGTACTCAGAAAATATAAAAAAATAAATATATATATAGTAACAGAGTGAAAGCGGAGGAACACCGAAGATGAATATCGTCTTGGGCCGTCTGTTCGGTGCTGTTCTTGTTTATTTGCATCAGAAAAAAAAAAAAAACGAATGGGCCAACGGAACCGTTTCATTGAGTGAACGAGGAGAGCCGGCAGTCACGACCAGCGCGCATGACCTGATGATGGTGCTCTGTCTGCTCTGTGTGTGTGGACACGCTTTTTTTGGGACGGGTAACGCGCGAGACTCGCGGGGAAGATTTAATAATACCTGAGGAGGGCTCGATCTTCACATCAACGATTGCTTGTTCCAGGTGGTGTCAGTCTCTCTCCCACTCACTGCTGCGTACATTAATATGCATGTGGTATGCATGTTAATTTGTTAATTTCTTCAGGGTAACCTGACAACATACATACCTATCCGATCCCTCCCTGTGGATTCGAATAATATGAAGAATGCGTCACAATCAAAGAGCAGGAGAGGTAGGAGGTATGGAAACACCAACGTAATAAAAAACAAAACGATATGCTACAACTACGCAACCACACTAACTCAACACTTTGCAGCGATGTTGCAGCCAGACGATACAAAGACCACCTGCCTGCACCGAACGGCGGTACATACATATGTATGCATATCGTTTACAAGTAGGACGGCGGCTAAACTTCTCGATTGATCGGCATTCATCAGAAAAAATACAAACAGGATTCGTTGGGTCAATGATTTTTATACCGTGGCAAAAAAAAAATAAGAATTACTCCGTACAAAGAGTGCTTACCGCGGGTGTACTTTTTTTCGTGGTCTCCAACATGGTCTCCATCCATAACATAATAATAATGGTTGATCTGTCTCTCCGTCCGGGGTTGGTCTCTCCACGGCCGAAACATAACACACAGACCTTCGCTTCTCCTTGTTTGTGCATGCTGTGCTGTAGGCGACATACGATGTACATCAACAACCCAACCTAAACCTATTGCAGAGCATCTCTCCGTCATGGATCCACTCATCATCCCATTATCAACGGTTCCACCGGTCGGTGGCAGTAGTATTTGGGGGAGAGGGTATGTCAAAACGATTGAAAACGGGGATGAATCCAATGGACCTGCGTGCGTGTGTCTTGCTGCATCATCAGCCCTCTCCCTACATTAAATTCCAATCGGGGTGTCGACCATCCTCTGTTTTCATCTACAATATCTGTCGACCACCCTCGAATAAGATCAAGTAGGTCGCGCTCTTCGGACCATGGCGTGCCCTGCTTACTGATGATATGAATTTTTTTGTTGTGTCGTCCGCCTCGTCACACCCATCCCCGCCGTCCACGCCCGGTCCATCCGCACACACGCCCCTCACAACCACTCTCCTCCCGCCTCTTCTTCAGAATCCAACACTAACAAGCTTGCTTGTAATCTACGGCCAGCAACCGCAGAGCAGCAGCCCGCGCGCAGCCTCTCTCTTCTTTTCCCCGTATCTCTGAAACCCCGCGTGAAAAGCAAGATGGCTCGCACTGCTTTCGCTGCTCTGGCCTTCGGCATGCTCGGTGCCGCCAACGCCCTGGAGGTCGTCTCGCCCGCCGCCGGGATCTCGGTGATCGCTGACAGGTGAGGGAGGAAAGCACAAACGAAGAGCAGTAAGAGTGAGGGAACACGAGAGAGACGCACACCATACAGCAGTAGCGAGAGCAAGGCGTCGCCGTAGTCGTCCATGCAGTTGCGGTGGTGAGAGGAGGAGATCCGAAGAAGAAGCGAGTCTAGGTATCTCTCCGGCGGATTATTTATCTGTAGAACAGCAGTAAGGACGCGATACCCAACACAGAAGAACCCATTCAGCAGCAGCAGCGGCAGAAGTTATCGCGTTGCGGGGCTCATGCCAGCGCAGACGGGTGTGCAGAGCGAAGGTTCCATGGCACATGGCGCACCCGCGTGGTTTCGGCGTTCCGTTGCATGTGGTAGATCTTCTGACACACGCACTGCCAACTCCATATATTGTGGCGTTCTTGCGCCCTGCGGATCTTAATTTTCCTATCTGCATAGACTTAGTATCATCGCTTGAGGCGGGATGGGCAACAGCGGAACGTTATCCCTGCGGGCTCACCGACCGTGTGGCCAGGAATATTGGACCTATATGACCTAATGCCTTGTTCTTCTCCACTCCAATCGAGTACAAATATATCATCAGCGCTTGTCAGCGTTGGAACGTTTCAAAACATACATGTGCAAGGATTGGATTAATTATTTTGAAGTAGAAATAGACTAGCAGTATTTTGGTACCTCGAAATAGTTTTTAGAAAGCGCTCCTGATTTGGCGGTCGTGTGAAGGAGCTATGTACTACTGTACATGGCTGTGTAATGCAGAGGCAAAGGCCTGCACACCGGCGCCAGAATAGATGGGACAAACTCACACACAACGATGACCCATGGCGCTCCCACCCTTGTTGACACCTGAGACTAACGCATAGACAACTCTATATTTCTCCTGCATGCTGAACGCGCGACAACTCCTCCTACTAAGTAATCGTCCCGGCCATCTTATGAAAAATAAACACACACACAGAAAGACTACCCGTTCGAGATACATTCTGACCACTTTCGAACGGGATTGTTTCGTCTTGTTGTGGGGCAATAGCGGCCTCATCATCAACTGCTGTTGTTTGTAGGTTTAAGAAAGATGCGCGCCTGTATCACAAAGTCTATTCTACATGCAAGTAGTATTTTTTTTAAGTTTCTTAAATCCCTCTACTTGCTGGAGCTTGAAGTCCCAAAGTCTACTTCAATAAATATATATATAAATAGATGTCGACAACACGGTCGACGAGAGAAAAAAGGGATGAATCCTTCTCCACAAAAAACAACCAAGGGAAGCGCTCCGGAAGGTAGTCTGAGAATATATCTCCTGTGCGCCGGCCCTCTGTGTGTGACCCCGGCTGGTGCGTCAAGGGTTACAACGAACCGCCTCCGGAACGGAATACCAATAAATATACTTTCGCAAATAAACAAGAGCGAGCCCAGTGCTAATCTACCCACGGACTGTCTGTGAAAGAGATGGAGTTGTATTCTTCGCAAGAACAAGACAAAAAGGGCACTTCATATTTCTTACCCCTTTTTGGCCGGGGTCGATCGCATCCCGGTTGCTTTTCTTTTTCGTTTGGGTAAAAGATCGTGTCTTGGAGGGCGTTTCTGAGGCTCATCCTACCCAATTCCTGTTTTTCCTTCCGTACTTGCGTTATTTTCCTCCTGTTCATAGATATTTAAGGAAAAAAGGACTTCGGCTGGTTCTCCGACCCCAAAATAGGGAACTGAGCCTCGACCCGAAATGGCCTTTCCTAACTGCCGGCCCGTTCTTCACTCTTTGGATAACCGCGATAAACCTCTTGGCTCCGCGTTGCGAGCTTTCACCAGGAACCGCCGTGCTTGTTTTTCTTTTCGGAGCGGTTTGTGGCACTCCTCAGTTGGGAAAGATTTGTTGTGTAGACTGCTGTGCTCCGTTCGTGTGGGAGAGTAAGGGGCCGACTCGGTCATACGGTCTCGGGATAGGACGAAGGGCACCCCCGCATCACAGAACATCTGCCAACCTCCATCACGAGCGGCACGGATGAACGCATGTATACCGAGCATAGTCCGTGATGCGTGTTTAACATCGACCGCCCGGTTTGTTTTTTCCCGTTCGCTCTCGGCGGGCGTGTCTGTTGCCAGGACGTACACCGTTGAGTGGACCGGAACCAGCGACAGTCGCTTCGAAATCGACCTCTACTACTGCGGCTCCTTCTGCATGGAGGTACGATTACGGTTTTTTCCCGTGTACTGTTTGCCGCAGGGTTCCGCTTTTTAATGTGTGCGTGTACCTGATACTTGGGGCGTATTCCGGGGATGGGTACAAATAACCCACACAGGAAACTAGAAATCGGGCTTCCTCAACGATGTGCTCTTTCTTGCATGGGCACGGGTGGTTGCGGTGTTTATTTCATCGGCAATGGTGTGGACGGCTCGGCATATTTTGCCTTCCAACACTGTTTTCTTGAGGGGCGTAGTCTGCATATAGATCAGGTGCCGTACAGTGTTGGTTTTGTCGTTTGTTGTATATAAAACGCGAGAGATTCAACAAGACATTTTTCCAAATAGAGACGGGCGAGAAAACTAAGCAGATCTCAACACTTGAGCGTCTGGATTATATGCGCAAGATTTTATACCGTGGTGGGTATGTTCACATTACAAATCGTTTGAACGTGCAAAGAGTACAGTAGTATGACGTGCCTCATCATCCCGCCAGGATGTCGGATAAAACGTACCCTTCCTTCCCCCTCATGAGTACTTCGCAACGTGTTTGTTTCTATGCCAAGTCAGGGTGTCAAGCCCCCTCAGTTTCGCGTGTTCTACATCTGAAGCCCTATTGAGCACACCGCCTCCGCTCCACCAACTGCCGCAATGCGTCTGTTTATCTTCCCGTGACTGCAGGACGAGTGCGGTGACTGGGTGACGGCCCTTTGCCCGTACGGTGCGGATGGCTGCCCCGACACTCAGGGTGACTACGACATCGTTATGCCCGAGCCCATGGCCGGTACCTCCAGCGGTTACAAGGTATGCGTCCGCACGGCTTGCCAGCGACATTTTTCAGCGATCGATGCGGTTAACAACCATCGGCTTGAAGCCGGGCAGCGACCCCATGCTGGGCGCGAAAGAAGGAAACTTCGGTAACAGAACTTCCTAGCCACATGTCCCAACTGTGGTTGCTGACAGCGTGCTGGTTGTCCTCGCCCTTACCTCTAGGTCGTTGTAACTGACTCCAATGACGAGTCCAGCATGGGCTGCTCCGGCGACTTCACCCTGGTCGCGTCCACGGATGCACCCGCGGCTGGCGAAGTGGGGTACAGTCTCACCGTCACTTCTCCCTCGGACGGCGACACCGCGATGGCGGGCGGAGTGTACACCGTTGAGGTGAGGAAGTTGTGCATCTTTTCAGTCAACATTCATGACGTCCGGAAAAGACCACCCGCTTCTAACAGTTCTGAGGAGGGGGTCCACTACGTTGGAAAGGTCATGCTATACATACAGTAGTAAGATGAGAATATGAGCTTTACTGCGTTTATTGTTGCTGTTCTTGTTGTCGGCCGTTGTCCCCTTACCGGGGTGATGAAAAACTGGAACACATTTTCGCGTGCTCGCATGGTAATGTTGTGGATTAATTGCCAATTTTTCGCTAGAGATAGCAACACCACAGCGCCGCTCGCCCTCTCTCCCCGCTTTCGCTTTCCCTAATGCACTACGCTTCACTCTGCCCTTCCGGCGTGTCTTGTCGCCACAATCGCAACAGTGGGACTACGAGAACGGCTTGGGCTCCTCCACGGACCGTTTCGCGATCGACCTTTACTCCTATGGCACCGGCACCGGCGACTGCGGAACCTACGTGGCTACCCTCTGCGACAAGCCCAGCATCGGCTGCCCCGACTCGCGTACGTACTTTCTGCGTTGTTGGTAGTAAATAGTGTGTTTTGGATAATTATTGTTCTTACAATGTGTTGTTGGTGTCCCAAGCCCGTGTCTTCGCATGTCCATAAGTTGTTGAATCGCTCGCGGGTTGGCGTGATTGACGTGGGTCCTTTGTCGTATTCCACAGGGCGAATGATTTGGTAAGCAGATGCTGTGGAACCGTCGCAACTAACTGCTCTTGTCTGTATGTGTCTCTGCCTCTGCCTCTGTGGCACTTCCATGACAATGCACCCACCTCGTGTTCTGTGCTTGCGCCAAAGTTACGGACTCTCAACCTCCCGACGCCATATTTGTTTTCACGACTTATTTTCGCTGGGCCCTCAGAGGGTGACTACGACGTGGAGATCCCGTCGGACACCCCTGCCGGTATGTACTCGGTCCGTGTTGGCGTCTTCTCGGACGACATGATGTTCGACTGCTCGGAAGGTTTCGAGATCGTCAACGACAGGACGGACATGTCGATGCGCCTTTAAGGGAATGCCCCGTTTCTCTGCTAGGTCCCCATTGAAAGTAGCTGGAACGAGTGAATTCTGTTTTTGCGTCATTGATAGAAAGAAAGAGACTTGAGATTGTTGGTGGTGGAAGAGGAATTCTTACATAAGGCGGAGACAGGACAAAGTCGAGAAAAAAAGGCATGTGTTGTTTAATAGATTTTCGTCATTGTTATTCGTTGTTTTGCCGACCTTTTTCTTCTCCATTTCGTTCGTGTAGTTGCTTCTGGTGCTATTTACCCGATCAATACAGCCTTGCCGGTCTTCTTGGTGTTGTGTTGGTAATGTCGCTGCTGCGGTATCGTTCCTCCTCGACTAGGAGAACTAGCGAGTGGCGACGATATGGACCGGGGGGGGGTGTCCATGTGCGCCGTGGTGTAATGGAATCGTTGTCTTGTTTGGAGCCGCCTTCATTCGATAGGCGAGAATATTCAATGTTTGGGTTCGCTCTGTTTGGGTTCGCTCTGTCCCTCTACATTTGCTGTTGAATCATCTGTAGCATTACTGTGAGACGACCTCCAAGAGATTGGGGGCGGGGTCATTTCCTACAACGGGTGTGTTTAGCAGCGTCGGGCGGACAGCCAAGCTAGTAGTTTTGTATCGGGGACGATGGAGGTATTTCGACGACCACCACAAGCTTTTACAACTGCAGTGCCAAGGCGCTCAAAGTCAGCAGGCAGCCAACGGTATCACGACAAGTTCTTAGAGCGTTCGTCACTTCCGTGATATCTTGGTCCAAGCGGTGGTCGTTACGGCGATCGCACAGGGTCCGTGCCTGCACGGCATCGACAAAACCGGAGAAAACCTCAGCTATGGTTGGTGATACCGTCGGGTTACGCAGGGGCGAGGTACAGAAAAGAGGCCAGCCTGCGCTTCCGGCATCATCACCGGCCCATCCATGGTGCGCACTGAGAGCCGTGCTTTCTAAATATTTTCGTCGACCGGGAATGAACGTGGACGAGGTGCAGTCGGATGACTCCCGCTGGCGGATATGGCTTTCTTGCTGAACGACGACTGGCAAATGAAAAGGATGGTCAAGAGCTTGGAGCCCGCGGAACGGATGAGAGTGGCCTTACCGGGAGAGTACAACCGGCGTATGAAAAGATAGTTACAGACCGAAAGCAACCGTGCTGGAGGGAAGGGAAGTGGCGGGGATGCGAAAAAAACGACGTTGCAACGTCCGATACGAAGAACCAACGTAAGAAACGACTTTGTAGTGCGCTGCACGCGTCATCGATGTGGAATGACAGGCCCGAGAGGCACCGGGGTGCGAGACTACGCCATGCCTTTTTTGGGTTTCTTCGCCTACTTGCTGCGCGAAAACCATTCTTTCGGGAAGAAAGCTGTCGGTGGATGGAGTATGTTCATATCGCGGGTGGGTTTTGTTCCGTCACAGACGGATATGGGGCTCATCGGATACCTGGTATAATGTAAAACGGGGGATGGCTTTCCCTCATCTCGATTTTGTAGTCCGTTCACGTCGCGGGAAAGTGGTACGGAATGAATCATTCCTCATATTATCCTGCCCCCCACGCCACGCACGGCCGTGGGAAAAACCAAGAAATGCCCCCGAAAACAAATTGTCAGCGAAACTCTTCTTGCGTCTAGTTGTACCTGGGCATGACACATGTCCACAATTCTCGCTTGAGACGGTCCTTCCTTTAGTCAACCCCTTGGCAAAGAGGAAAAGGGCTTCAGTCGAGGCCAGGGCTACCCCCGGGTTGTGTTAAAGACCAAGAAATGGACTCCATATAGAATAGAAGCAGTATTGGCGATATACCTTTCCATCCCCCCTAGTGTTGGATATTGATCCAATAGTAGATTCGACACGATATCGCCCGTGAAGTGTTCGCTATCGATATCGATATTAGCTGGTAGCGGCGAAGCGAGCCGTTAGTGGCGAGCACAGCAGTGAGCCGACGCGTGAAGGCGCGGAAGCTCGCTGTGCGAGCCCAAGCGGCCCCCCCCGGCTGGTAAGGGAGCCCCGCTGGAGGCGCCGCCGGAGGCCCAAAAATTGGAGCAATTTCGCTTCATTTCCCATCAAAATTACCCGCAAATAGGCCTCCGAAACCTGCCGTCAATGTACAGCCAGCTGCTTGAAAAAACATTACCAGTATGTAGACTATGTGGGTAATAGTCTATCTACATCTACACCGAGAAATGAACATCATATTTATCAGTTGATTATTCTACACTACTACACTACTAAAGAAACCTCAGCGGTATCGCACGCCGCAACACAGAAAGCAAGCTTGCTTGTCGCAGAAAAGCAAAGCTCTCACAACAATGAGAGATAAATGGCACAATAATGAGAGATAAATGGATAGTAGCTGCAGCTACTTCGTTGAATGCGCGCATTTCACTGCGCGCGCACACAGTGCGGCTGCTGTGTGCTGTGTGCTGTGTGCTGTGCAGCTGTGGGGGTTCCGTGTGGAACATCAGGGGTTCCGTGGAGTATTTATCGATTTATCGTATCGATATCGAAATATCGAAATATCGAAAAGTTCAAATGTTTTCGATATCCGATATCGATACGATAAATCGATACGATAAATCGATACGATATATCGAAAAATTCGATACGATATCCAACACTAATCCCCCCCCTTCTCAAGTCAATCCCAACAGAAATCAGACCGACCGACAAACGTGCGAGCTGTCTTGTGTTCACTTATCACACCATCCGTTGACATCGGAACGAAGCGATATGGCAAAGCAAGCTGTTCCTCCTCCCCCGTGCCGGTACCGGTGTTCCGCCACGCACCGAGGCTGCGGCGTAGCTTACTACTAAATCTTCTAAAACCTTGCCTCCCGTTGCAACAGGAACCCGGGTGCCGCATTGACTGTGCATTCGGGCATCATGCGCGGGCTGATATGTGTCCATGCGGGACACCCTTCCAACCGTCCTTTTTCGCCGCAGAAAGGAGAGCCAAAAAAAGGTCCCATACATGTCTCCGTCATGATGCGGGTTTGGGCTTGACCGGCAGAGCGTCCTCTATTGCCTCCGTCATGTCCGGCTCAAGCGGGCTGAGGTTCGACCCAAACACCTGTGTTGGACAAAAACAGCAGTGCACACACCTGCATGAGTGAATGCACACGATCCCAATACAAGGGCTCGAACAACACGACGACACATTTTCACTCAAAACCCACCGGAGAAGGTGGGCCTATGTGCACAACATCTGACCTCTCTCGAGGATGAACATCACGGGCGCGGAACGAAGAGCCCGAGCGCTAAAGCGCTACTGTACTTTCCGCATACTACGTGTAGGTTTGCATCCTCTGTGCCCTCTGCTGACGTATTATTGCTGGCAGCAAGACACAACCCCGAGCGTGAGCGTGAATGAAAATGTCAGGTACGTACTACTTGTAGGTTCCCGGGTGTACTCATGTAAACGCATGCCGTACTCCTTAGACTACCATCACCTTGTGATCCCTACAATATCGGGACGGAGCGACATGCCGGGTTTCGCCGGCTACGTTTCGTTTCACAAGGATGAACCACAAGCTGGCCATCATCCTTGCACTTGCTGTGCCAAACCAGAAACAAACGCCGTGGGTTTATTGGGCATCCCGGCCACCCAAACGTTTCACATCCGCCAGGCACGACTTTTTAGTCTATACTTCAAGGCCGGCTGTACACAACAGGCGCCCCACACCCAGCACGCGTCGCTTCGTATGTGATACACTCAAGAGTATAGGCTGCAATATTGCTTCAGGTGGAAAGGTTCCACAGATAGATGGGGTACTACTTGAAGAGAAAAATTTGCTCTCAGGGGGGGCGTGTACTCATGTTTTGCATGCCTTAGAAGATAGACCATTGACCACGCGTCTTCATCATGACGGAGCGGGGAACCAAAGGGGGGGTGGAGGGGCGGAGGATTTCGAAAAATATCCATGAGTCAACTGAAAAAATATGAGCCATTCGGTGAGCGTTTGTGACCTTTGGACGTTCGTTATTTGCTGCTTAACGCGACAAAAAATCGCACTAAATATTGGACGTCACCCGCGACGACGAGATTTTCATTTAGGCACGAAGAAGAGTGTGTCCAAGCGTGCAACCACAGGTACTGTGTCCGACGGAGTATCTTCGTCAATGTTATGTTATGATTTCCCCACCACTCTATACGCGAACAAAACATCGCGACAACTACCGTAACAAAGTGTTTTTAGGTCCTTCATTATCTAGAGCTATGGTTTGTGTGATCGACGAATGCACAACAGACTTACGTCCCGAAATGGTAAGCACACAGGTTACGGTAGTGCTTCTCTGAACACTCGGGTACACAGGCGACGTGCTGAGCACTGCTGCAATGAGTTCATCGGGGCATGCATGAGACGCCTCCATAGACGAGCCTGGCCATCGCTGAGGGATGTCCGCCACCTCTCGGCGGTTTCCAGCCCAGGTAACATACATACGCAGAGGGATGTAGCAGTATCAGCAAAAACGCCCCAGCATCTAACCCGGGTCTCCGGTACATAAGCCCGCCTCAGCATAAATGCGGGGCATATCTGAATAAATGCCCCCCCACCCCTCACGACATGTTGAAAGCCGTAGAGGCAGTTGGGAAGGCAGTGAACGCAGGGAACACTTCGGTGTCGGGAATGCTGTTTGCGGAAAAAATGTTAGCATGTCTGATACTCCTGAGGGACTTCAAGTGCAGATAAACGAAGCGAAGTATTCTGCCAACGTCGAGAAGTGTGCCGTAAAAGGTTTTGCAACGAGGACAGGGAGAGACCAGTAGAGTATAGTATCATAGGTGGAAGGTGGGGGATCGACGAGCTTCCAGCAGTGGATCAGTACACGATCTCGGAGTGGAGTATAGATCGCAAAATACTGTACATGGAGAGCACACATGCCCAAAGTAGAGGTAAAAGGAGAAAGCGCGAGCCGGGAAGGTACACCCGATACTCGCAAACCGGCACCTCGATGCACGCATCAAATTGGCAGTTTTGAAGAGTGAGTAGTCGTCCCACCACCCAAGTACGCCGGAGAAGCATGGAAAGGACTGGAGGCAGCGCACAATTAAAGCAGTGGGATCCTAGGATGCTCCAAGCGCACAAGGAATGCAGCAGTAACTGCAGAACTGGGCATACAATCGCTACCATCGGGAAGAGACGCAGTGAAGCTAAAATGGTGGTACCGGTTGCACGATACGGGAGAGGAGAAGTTGCCGAAAATAGCTTGGGAGGCAAAGTGGGCAAACAAGACCAAGGGGAGACAACCCACAGAGTGGGCTAAGTTTGTAATGGGTGTATGGAAGGCGTTCGAATTGACGAAGTTGATACACTGGAAACGGAGGGTCTACAGGGGTTCAAGGAGAATATATCTGTTGCTGTTGCCGAGAGAGAAAAACAGAATCTAAGGAAAGAAGTGTACGGAATGTTGAAAGAGGGGATAGGGTTCAAGGAGTACCTACACAGACCAATGGATGGAGGCACAAAGGAAAAAGGTCAAATAGGGCTGGGGACAATCGGCCTTCGAGAACGTAGACGAAGATATAGGAGGGTAGACGATGAAGTCGACAAGTTCAAGTGTGAATTTGGCTCCGAGTGCGAAGACCGGGTTCATGTAGTTGCGGAGTGTCCGTTTTACCAAAAGGAGAGAAGAATGTACATGACTTGGGTGGAGGAAGGCACAGAAGATGCGTGAGGCATGGTTTATAGCCAGGAGAAGACGGTAGCTGTACTGGGGCATAGGAAGTGGGTTGAAAAGGCGGGAAGTGATATCTATAGGAAAACATGTTTGACCGAACTGACAGGCCAGGGAACCATTGTTGAGTCACCTTCGGCAAAGTTAGGACGAATGATTCGCCATCGGTGATCGGTCCTGCGGGAACAATACTCGGTCCTCACGCTTGACTCACCCGCACAATGCGTAGCCTACGCGCACCCATTCCCATGTCAACCCGCGTGCATAAACAACCACGTCAGTGGGCAATCAATCTAGTGAAGTACGTCCCGTGAGTGGACAAGCAGCACTTGCCCCACAATCGTTGTGTTTACTTGCTTGGGATCTAGAAAGGGCCCGGCGAGTCTCGGAATCGGTTCAAACACAAGCATTATGGACCCGGTTCCACTCACCCCTGCAAGAGCTCCGTCGGCACCCACCAGCAGTTTATGAAAGTTCCATCTGCGGAGAAAAAACACGGTCCACGAGCCAAACGGAAACGTCGAACGAGAAGAAAAGGAAAACGACCTTGGCGAACAGCAGAGCACAGCTACGTATCTCTGGTCTATTTTTGGAGGATTGTCCATTTCTCGGAAGGAGCTGCTGCTTGATATCGCAGACGAAACAGCGACCCTGCGCGTATACGCGATGATGAACCATGAGAAGGGTTCGATTTCACTCCGGTCCACACCACTTTTCAACCTTCAGACACGACCGCTTGTCCCAGGGTGGTGGTGTCCGTCTAGCAGTGTTGCCAGCCCTATTGTAAAGGACACAAGCATCCCCATCCCGGCGCTTCTTTACCCTGACTTCTACGAGACACCAGACCCGGGCAAAATGAAGCACCCTGAGCAGCATGGATAGCCCGGGCGCTAGGCTAACAAAGGGGAGGACCAACCTCCGACCAAAAGAAGCGTGGCCTTCTGACAAGCGGTGCGCGGCAAAAAATAGCACGCACCCACCCGCTCCGCGACAAAAGAGAATGATAACGCGTTGATCAGGCAACCAGACGGCGGGCAGCGACGTCACGACCAAACACTCACTGCGGTCCAACATCTTGGCCAAACTCAGCGATGACCGCCGAGTAGAGCGGGTGAGCCTCTGGTCCTACCACTACAGTCTGGGCGAAATGGCAGCGGCGGGGGACACGCGGCAGCGGCAGGGGTGGTCGGAGGAGGGGGGGTGCAGGGGTGGGGAAAAGGGGTGGTAGGACGACGCTTGAATCCAAAAGACGCTTGAATCCAAAAGACCTGCACAATGTTAGAGCTCGGGGTTTGACGGAAGGATGGAACTTGAAATTCGGGTACCCACTGCCCCTAACGAAGAACGCAACATACGAACTACCAAGGTACCTCTCATCGTTCATGCTTATCCGCGCACGCATGAAACTGTAAGGCATGTCGTCCCGAAACCACTCTACACATGTCCGTCAATCGCTAACGCTGTGTTGATCCACAACAAAGAGGTAGCCAACACAGGAACAGGGTCGCCGAGGACACGAGTCGCAGGCGCCAGTTCTCAAACTATCTTTCTCGACGTTTAAATGAAATCGAGCGGGGTATCTATCGAGCGCGGGGGGGGAGCATTGCCGCATGCGGTGCATGTAGTAAATGGTACGGGACAGGAACGACAAGCACGGTCGTTTCAGAATTCATCCGCTCACGGCGTTTGCTGTATATAAAACCGTCGGTCCGTCCTCCATGACGGCAGTTAATCCAGCGGGTCTGCGACTTGTACCCCAGGCCGTTCAGGGGGCACCCTCGCAACTTGCCGACGTTTGGGACGTGGGCCCGAATCGGCGTCACGCGATTAATTCGTGTGTACACCAAAATTCTACTTAGCGGTCGATGAGGCAGCAGGAACAGATCAACCCTCCTCGAGATGAAAACACAGATACAGCCGATGCACCATCCACCAGGACGCCGGTTGCAGCTCGTTCGGGGTGGAGAACAGGGAGTCTTGCGTGACCTTCCTCCCTTCCTTTGTGACCACGATTTGTGCGGCAGAACAACATACCAAAAGGTGTGCCACACACATAACATACACACACCTTCGACGTGAGTGGGAAAGTGACCCCAAAGTCTTTCGCGTAGAAGTCCTTGATCTTCTCCTCGTCCCACGGCTGTGCGCCCAGGACCCCCAAAAACGAGCGCGCGATAGCAAAACAGTGCGTTTCGAAAACAGCGGAACCGAACGCCGCAGCCGGTGGACACGGCGGGAAAGTGATCAACTTCACCCCGTTCGAAGGACGGTGGCCCGCCTGCACCACACCCTAGAGACAAACGACACGATCCAGGACGTTGGCTGCCGCTAGCTCGAGGAAAGGCCTTCTGATCAATATTCAATATGCATCCACGGAGAGTCAAGCGGTTAACCTAAAAGGCTCCCCTTCGCGTGTTTATCGCACGCCACGGTGTACTAGCAGATGTGTCACAAGCTCAGGTGCTAGACAGCATTTGGGGCTCTCAAGAGAACTAAGTAAAGCCTTGCGCTATCGGTGGGGGGGTGTTCATCAAAGGGTGCGCCGTGTGGTACCCCCCTGCCTCCTCACCTCTTGAGCACCGAAGTCGTTGGATGGTACCCCCAGCACGACGAGCCCCTCCCCGCGGAAACGCTTGTGCACAAGCTCCAGCTCTTTCAACTGCGGCGTTAGCCTGCACAGGTGGCGGGACACGAACGTCTGTTTACCGCACCGTAGTCGTCCCTAGGCTGCGCCGTGAAGCGCGCGTGGGAAACCTTGGTCTACCATGCTTGTGTGAGGTGGTACTTTGTGTGATACGCTGTGCGATGACTATCCTCGGCCTCTGACTTGCTGTACACATGTCTCTCCCAAGCCGCGTGTCCCCTTGATGGTAAGAGTCTGCATAGCATAAGACTGAATTAATTTGCTGACTTGGCTTCAGTATAGAAAGTGTCCATGCATTTGGGGGGGCGCTTTTCTGTCTATAATCAAGTCAGCCTTCGTCCCTCGGGACTGTACAGCCTCTCCCAATGAGCGGATGCGATTTTTCGAGCGGATGCGGTTTTTTTCTGGACATATAACCTGTAACTAAATACCTGGGTGCTTGACAAACATATCCCAAAAGCGGCGGTGGCCTGGGATATTTGCACCTGGTACTACTACTATGGTGGCAGCAACAAGGAGGTGGTCTGCGAGTTGATTGGGACTGTTGTCTGTATCGAACAGGCTAAAGTCAATCTGTCGACGACAGATGAAGTACCTTGTTTTCACACAATAAAGTACACACAAAAACAATGTGCCACGTTCAACCTTGTCTCTCCCAGAGATAACTTGGGCGAGGGAAAAAATATTCTCACCCACAGAGAGAGGCCGTATTGACGACGAGAACCGCCTTGCCTTCGAAATCGTCGGGGGGCATCGGCTTGCCGTCTACAATTGCTTTGAACGCCAGCTTCGATCCTAACGGTATCGCTGTCCCCGTCTCCGCGGCCGCTCCTCTCCCCGCCTGCTCTCCCCCGTCCCCCCCCTCCGACGATCCTCCCGAGCTGAGGCGTCGCCGTGTCGTCGAGCACCTACTGAGGGTCACAGACGCAACAACCTTGGTCACCCCACCGCGCGCCACGGCTGAGGGGTTGAAGCGGCCCCGTGCCGATGCCGTTTCCGTCCCCTGCAGCGGCGGCCGAGGCGGCGGCGGCGGTAGCAGCCGGGATGATGTGAACACCGCCGCCGTCGAGACGATGCGAAGGAGTGGTCGCCTCCCTGCACCCCTGAGGAGCACTGCTGCAGTAGTGCCTGCTGCGGTTTTCATGGCTGTCGCCATCTTTTTGCTTTCTTCGGTGGATGGGTGGCGTGTCTTGGTTGCGACTTACATGCAACCGCGTGCGTGGGTCGTGAGGCGTCGGGTTGGCGTACAAGTCACCCTAGTTGCCTCCCTGGCGAATTGTTGGGACGTAACACAACAAAACAAAGGACGATGCGAAGGGGGGCAGGGGAAGGGGGGGTGACGGCCGGAGCGGCCGGCGGGTGAGAGTCACGTGGCTTCCGGGAACCACGGCAGCTGTCGCTTGACCGGATAGAAGATCCCCTTTGTTGGTGGTCGACCCACGATGTCTCCGCCAGCAGCTAACGGTTAACAGTTTCGGGGAAACTCTTGACAAGCTACTATTGTATTAATTACGCGTTCAGCTTAGCAACGTGTCTCGACGTGGAGGTATCGAGCTTGGGCGATTGGTTCAGGGCATCGTAATAAGTAACACGGACAGGCATGTTCACAGTTTACAGTAACCCTGTTCTTCGTGATGCAAAAAATATTTCGTGCATGTTACGCGCCCCTCGAACCTCTTGAGCAATGTGCGTACATTGTACATTGTAGGCTACATACAAGGGAACGTGAACACAGACCACACAGACTGATGTCACCTTTCACCCGCAAGACATATGTTCTACACTGATATAAATCATCAGTGTATGGGCTTAAATAGACTCGAAATAAGTCCAGTACCCAGCCGGTTTAAAGGAAACATACATGCACAGAAAGACTACCCATCTTTTCCTCCACTCCCTGTAAAGACTCCACGATGATGTCAGTGGTATTGCCCTCTTTCAACGAAGAGGCACCCTACACGTCAGTTATGTGGCGACGTGCGACCGTGCGGAAGCGGAGTTCGTGCGAGTTTGCCGCACGCGATTCTACAACGTAATGTTTCGAGTGTTTTCATGAGCGACGGCCAGTGCCCAGTCTGGCATGTAGTCCCATCTCACGTGCACGGCAGTCCGACGTGCACACAACTGATTCGATACAACAGATAGGAGAGAAGGCAGCAGCTGGAATGCAGAAGTATGCAGCACCGCCGTACTTGCTTGTGTGTTGTACGCAGCAGCACCTCAGACAGAAGCAGGTGGTATCACTCCGGTGGCCGACGGATGGACAGCACGTGTGTGCGTACACGTACATACCCCCAAAGGGGAAAGGGCTTGCCACACTGCAGCAGCAACACAGCAATAGCAGGATGACGCAAATAGCACCGCCCACCTCGCGGACATCAGCAACGGCAGCAGGCTGACTCTCTTCTACAGCCCAGGAGAGCCGTATGCACACCTGCTTCTTCTTGGTACGTGGGTACAGCAGCAGACTACAAGCCATACTATTGCTGTGCAGCCATGGGTTACCTCCCTACAAATACTGTTGTAGGACCAATCTCATCTATAGACCACAGAGTATCGGCACCTACCTGCACAAGCTTCTGAATGTAAGCATACCTTTCGACATGCGGTACTCCTAAGTGGGCAAAAGCGATGCGGCGAGCTGGAGTGTTCGTGCGGCCGAGAGTCCGCACACAAACGAATGGCGGTTGGTTGTGGTCGTTGCGTTACGGACGGCGAAACACAGCAGCAGGCAGGATAAAACGATAAAACCGGCTGGCGCACACCGCACACGAACGGGGGTTTCTCTCTAAACGTCCATTTTCTGGAACAGGGAACAGGGAACTCGGAATTATTGCCTGATTGGTCAGCCACACAAAATAACTTTCCTGGAAACAAGAAATGCCACACACACACACACACACACGTTCCCTGTTTGAGGTAGTTCCGCCGCACCATAATTTTAACTAAAATTAGCCAACAGACCGTAGGGAACGTGGAACACGGGCGCTTCGGTGGCAATTCAGGAAGTGGTGGGATGTGTGTGATCACTCTCGGGCATGCGGCTGCCACAGGTGCTGCATGCTACCGGTTCAAGCCGTATAGGCTTTGCCACCATTGTCAGGTGTCTAGCATGCGAAAAAACGGCGGCGGAGGCGCGTGTAGCCGTTGTATGGGGGAACATAAAGTGTCAAAGAGACGGCAAGCTGCCATGGACCACAACTCAACAAAGCATGCCTTCCAGAGCACTGTCGAGGGTGCGGATTGCATGGCGAGCACCGCCTGTTCTAGCCGATACGTAGTACATGTGTTTGATGTGCGATCGTCAACAGCTTCCTTCAAAACCTACACCACCTCCTCCCTCCTCTACCCCCCACTCGTCTTTGTGCGTCCAATGGTTGTATTTGTTGCCTTCGAGTGCCTAAGCGCGCGCTGAAACGTTTCGTGTTCCTGGAAATGTGTTGTATTATTAAGGAATAATAAAAACACACACAGAAAGACTACCCATTCGAGATATACCCACAGTCGAACGGGATGTGGTGGAGTCTTTTCAGTGAGTGGAGGGAAACCGGCTGGGTACTGGACTTATTTCGAGTCTTTTAAAGTCTATACACTGATGATTTATACCAGTGATGCCAGCTGGTGCTAAGTACTATGTTAGGACACAAAACCACACGGAACAGGGAACAGGGAATCCCGAGTTCTCTGTTCCCTGTTCCCTGTCCAGCAACGGGATTGCCCACCAGGCCAGCCTACTGAAAATGCTGAGGCCTGCACCATAGAAAGGCCAAAGCTTCGTGGCGCATGGATACTGAACTATCGTACGTCTACTACCGTTGCCCCTTGGCGCTCTAAAACCTGGCAGCCGTGCTGGCTGGAAGAAAAACGCTGCTATAAATACTGCTGTCGGAGATCGTTGCGAAGCGGCCTCCACGGGTCACTGCACTTGCTGACACGCCCTTTTAGAAAGTAAACATAAACTTCCTTTTTGGTCTTGCAGGCGCCAGCCTTTCTTCGGGTTGCGCACTTACTTGTTGGTAACATGGTGTTTTGAAGCACATACATATTGATACTGCATGTATGTATGTACATGTAGGGCCTACATTGTACATCGTAGGGATCAGGTGGCGAGTGATAGGCCTGCCGCGAGGAAGGGGTGTGCCTTGACGGTGCAGTCTACGTATCGATCTGCGTGTAATCTGTGTTGCATAGACTGTGTTGCATAGACTGTGTAGTCAAGAGATGAAGTCTGCAGCAGTACCACTGCTGTACTGCTGTACTACAAGCAGTACAGCAGCAGCAGCAGTAGTAAATAGTATCAGAGATTCCGTTCTACACAGAAGTAACAGCAGCGTGGTACACGTTCTACCAGCATTACTATGCTACATGTACACCAAAACCACCTTGCATTTCACGCAACAACAGCAGTGAAGGGTGAAGGACACCCCTGGATACCGGTACCACTGTAGGCACACAGCAGTACTTGCCATTTTCTGAGAGTATGTGCATATGGATAAGAACAAACGGAGAGGCCGCGGTTCCTGGTTTCCGGAACGGACAAGCAGTGTGGAAGTGTGTAATGTGTGATGGTTTGAGATCGTCCAGATGGCAAACAACAAACACGCGTGCGGTTTCTGCAAAAAAACAGCCAGCGTCACAGAAGACAAGCTGCGTGCTGACGACGCGCGAGCGGAGGAGGGTGTGGGGCAACAGGTTAAACACCATGTCCTCACACAGCAGCAGCAGCAGCAGCAGCAGCAGTTGCTCAGAGTTCATTATTTTGTTTACAATCGGGCCACCTGATGATGTGCACATCGCGCCGCGTGCATCGATCATATATATGCATAGGTTCAAACGCGCACAGGTCACACAAGTTGACCGTTGTTCCGATACCACTGTTGCAATAGTTGGTCTCCATGTCTCCATATTTTTTCATCTCACCTCTTTTCTCTTTACTAGACAAAGAGGCAGACGAAACCTGGTCCTCACACCCAGTGCCCTCCCATGCAGTGCGTGCTGTTGGTATGCATACGGGAGAGGGATGCATACGTGCATGCGTTGGGTCAGGCGCACACAATAAAAAAAAAACACGGCTTTAGAACCCTGCTCACGGGACGCTGCTGATTGGCCAAATTAAGCCGGTAGGTCCTATTCCAGCCAATGGCATGCGAGTGAAAGGCCCGCACTCTAGATTCTTTCTCGACCTTCCTATATTAAAATCAAGTCGTTATATTCGGACCGCGGCCCCTGCCGAATCGACTTCTTTGGCGTCTTGCTCGACACAGTTCTTGCGTCACGTCCTCCGCCCGCCCCAGGCCCTCACAACCACTCCGCCATCACCACTACCCGCCAAAACAAAGCTACCGCAAAGGCCAGTACCCCCAGAGCAGCCCGCGCGTAGTCTCTCTCCTTTTTCCCAACCCCGCAAGAAAAGAAAGATGGCTCGCACTGCTTTCGCTGCTCTGGCCTTCGGCATGCTCGGTGCCGCCAACGCCCTGGAGGTCGTCTCGCCCGCCGCCGGGGACATGGTGGTCGCTGACAGGTGAGCGAGGACAGGAACAAAGCGGCAACTAAGACAAGAGAGAGAAACACACGCACAACGAGAGCAAGACGTTGCCTCATGTATATGCAGCCTCGGCAGCAGCAGCAGCGGCAGCAGCAGCAGTCGTGAGAGGAGATCCGGAGTCAGTCCGTGTCTCTCGGCCGGTGTTTATTTCTTCCCATCTGTCGAACAAGAAATAGGAAGAACAACAGATGTCACGTTTTCCTGCAATGGCGGAGATGGCTGTTTCTAACAACAACAGCAGCATTAGAGAGCCAAGTTTCCACGGCGCGCGCCAACGCCGTGTTAGAGGGTCGTCTGCCAGACGCGTCCACTGCTCACTCTCTCGTGCAGCAGGCCCGACTCTTAGAGCGGCTATCATAGCATATGCGCACCGTAGCCTCCTTGATAGTAACTTATTTCTCCGGCAGGAAGCGGAAGGCGTATCATTTTTCCCCACACAGAAAACCCCCGTTGTTCCCCCAAACCCCCAAAACATGTATTTTTCTGCCTGTAATGAAGAAAAGAGGCGCGCTCAAGTTGGCGCGCTCCGTCTCTCACACACACACCCATGCGCGAACAAAACGGCCAGCACAAGTGCGTCCATGTTGGCCTGTTGTTCGGCGGCTGGTGTGTTTTCGGCGGAGAACAAAGCGCGGACGGGCGCGTTCGTTCGGCCAGAACCCTACGCTCCCCGGTGTTTTATTTTCGAAGAAAACATCTCTCGGATTTCGATTCGGACTCTGGCGTTGGGGTGGCCAGGAAATGGATTATCTCCTATTCCGTCCCCGGCCGCATTCAATTGCACCTGTCGTGTAGATGGATAGCAGGGGTCGGTGGAGATATGGACGCGAGCTACCGAGATTCCAGAGGCGCGCCATGTAGGCGCGCCCCACCGTACGACATCTATGTAGTGGGCAGCACAGAGTAGAACCCCCCCCGCGAGCTACACACTTCCACGACAGCTGGCTGGCAAACGATTCAACCAAACGGCATGAGGGTGATTGATGGTGCACGCATCATCGAACGCGCCTTTTTGTCGCACGCCCCCTCTCTGTGCGTTCTCGATGCCAATTTCCCTCAGGCCGTGCGAGCGCTTGCTTGCCTGTGTACCCGTATTGTTCTGCTTGCTATGAAGTCGCGCGGACTATGCTAATTAGTAAATCATTCCTCTGCCAGGTGCCCGCCAACCACCGATCACCTTTCTTTCCCCCAAAGCAAAAATTAATTAGGAAAATTTGTCGTTCCTCTCAGCTCATTTTTTTTTCCTTTCGGTGCGCAACGAATTCATCTCTATCCGTAGGTTAGGGTCCAGCATCGAACTCAATTCAAATTCATATCCGTATGCGTTACAACAGCGCAGCACCACTCGAGTTTCTCTATACGATACACCACTCAAGCAGCGTGTACATACAGTATGTATATGCTCTTTCTATGGATTGCTTGTCCGAGACGAGCCTCGCGCCCTAAGCATCGCGGTTCCACGCACTCGAAACACACATGGAACTACACTATAGACCGGAATAGCACCGAAGACCGATAAACGTGCAATATTTGGCCATCTCGCGCCGGACATGCGCATCTAATAGACTAGCTATCTACGTGCAACACGCCCGACCGACTTTTACATGTACACCCGTTCCTTTTAAGTTCCAAATCAAAGACTTATGCATGTACGAACGTTTGTTATTGCTGCTTGCTGGCACAATATTTTTTTTTTCATCTCTGTCGACCGATGGACGTCCACAGGATAATTTGGTAGAGCACGTACCTGTCATTTTCCCAGGAAGCACATCAGCGCATCCGTTATTTCCCGGCGGTGGGTAACATACCGTTTCGGCTCCTACGTTTTGAAAGATGCCACAACAAAAACATGTATGCATGTAGATGCAGCAGTGGGCGGGGGGGCAGGTTGAATGGTGCGTTTCTGTTTTTGGCTGGGCAACAGATTGAAATACCAATTCATCAGTGTATAGACTTTAAAAGACCCGAAATAAGTCCAGTACCCAGCCGGTTTCCCTTCACTCACTGACTCCACCACATCCCGTTCGACTGTGGGTATATCTCGAATGGGTAGCCTTTCTGTGTGTGTTTTTATTATTCCTTAATTCATCCTGTACAGCAAGTAGCAGCACTTGGAACGTAATAGTTGTTGTCCTGACATTTAAAAAACGTCCGATCCTTCTCTACTCAGTACCTTCGTATGTCCGTACTGATCCAACACTCGAAGCGGTCGATTCCCGTCGTCACAGGTTAACTTACTAATAGTGCCGGTTTCGGAATACCTCCGCCATTTTCGATGTACCACCACCTTGTTCGTTTCATTCAACGTGTGTAGCAAATAGTTGTCAGGCGTAGTAAGTTTATCCGCCAGCCTCTCATCACCAGCGACCACACGGGCGTACCTCGCACATGTTTGGTCAACATTGACCGTTTTTGTGCTTTCCCTTTTTTTTGCTCTCGTGCGTCTTGTTGCCAGTGCATACACCGTTGAGTGGACCGGAGCCACCAGCGGGCGCTACGACATCGACCTCTACTACTGCGGCTCTGTGTGCATGGAAGTAAGGACACAGCAGTTGTTGATAATCTACTGCTTGTAGTGTTTTCGTTCATTTGTTTATTGGCGTCAGGTTCCCGCTTGGAAAAACAGCGAGTATGAACAACCACCCTGGTGCGTCTTGCGGGGGTGGGGGTGGTACAGGCAAAAAAACTGGCTCACCGCAAAACAACTATTTCTTCCGATTTAGGTTCCTTGTATGTGAACAGGGTGGTTGTCCGTTGTTGCGTGTACAATGGGAGGCGCGGCTGGATTTCCCAGGTTTGTCTTGCAGTACCGTACCGGAGATGTTGACCCTCCAAAAAAAGCCTGCGTATCCTGCGTGTCTCTTAAGATGAGCGTCTTGTTTTCCTCCGAATCAGGCCATCAAGCCCACCCTCCACCCGTTGTTGCCATGTCCAACGCCGTATGGAGCACATCGCCCCCCCCCCCCCCGCTTCACCAACTGCCGCAATGTGTCTGTTTATCTTCCCCGTTTTACAGGACGAGTGCGGTGACTGGGTGACGGCCCTTTGCCCCTACGGCGACGACGGTTGCCCCGACACCCAGGGTGACTACGACGTGGTCATGCCCGAGCCCATGGACGGTACCTCCAGCGGCTACAAGGTGCGCTACATGTATGCGTGTGGCGTGTGTCTGCTGTGGGGGTGAACGGACGGACGAAGACCACAGCAGTAGATGTAGGACGGCATGGATTGAATTATTCGGGGGACAAGGAGCGCATCTACCATGTAGATGACACAAGGAGAGAAGATTTAGATGAACAAGCCACAACGGCGTGCGTGGGGCACGGCTGGAGACCAAAACGACTACGGTGCGAAGAGCCGTGTTTCTTCTGCCCACGAGGAAACGTGCTGAAAACCCTCCAAACGCAGTACAGGCGTGAAATTTGGTAATGTTTTTGTTGTCGTGGAGCCGTCCTAAATAGACCCATGTGCTCGGAACTTGACGGGGTCCTACCCCCCCCCCCCCCCCCACCAATGGGGGCTGCTTGACAAAAGGGGGTGGGGTTCCCCTTCCCCCCACCCTCCCCGGGGAAGGGGACTGACTCCCGTGACCAGTCGGAATACGGGTGGTCCCGGGAATTTCCCCTGATCCCGTCCCCCGAAACCCCCCAAGCGACCGAAATGGGAACCTAAGTCTCCCTCACTTTTCCCTCGGAAGGGGAAACCCCCCTGGGGGGGGGAAAAGACACCGGTGAGGGGAGGGGGCCTTGGGTGGTT